CATGCCTAGAAAGTCGTCTTATACGCCGGAAACTACCGTAATTTCCGGCGTATAAGATGACTCGGCGTATAAGACGACCCCCCGACTTCGGCGCCGATTCCGACGCTTTAAAAAGTCGTCTTATACGCCGGAAAATGCGGTACCTTTCTTTCACGGTTATTAAGGTGCCGTTGTAAAGTTAGTCACACGGTTGCTAAGTGAATCTGGCTTCACTTTGCTTGTTAGAAGGTGGCAAAAGGGGTTCACGTGACCCCTACACAAAAGTCCATTGCCAAGCGTCCAGATTTTGATCACGTGACCATGGTTGGGACAAAACTCAGCCGTACTTTTTCGTGCGGCTGTTGATAAAAACAGGATCGCCAACATGACGACCCCCGTGAAATGGTCGTTCGACCCCAAATGGGGTCCTGACCCACAGGTGAGAACCGCTGGCATAGGGATATATTATTTTAGCCTCCCTAAAACTTATTTCTTCTGGGACCAGACCCTTAGCATCCTCCTCCTGGCACGCTGTCAGCTCCCATTTTCCCCCATAAGGAAACTAACTGGCAATTTGGTTTAGGGGTTAAAGCACCAGGATAGAAAGCTGGAAACCATGAGTCTTAGCCATGAAAGCCGGCTGGGTGACTTTGGGCCAATCACCAGGAGATGGTGAGTTCTAGTCCCACCTTAGATGTGAAAGCTAGCAGGGTGACTTTGGGCCAATCACCAGGAGATGGTGAGTTCTAGTCCCGCCTTAGGCATCAAAGGTGGCTGGGTGACTTTGGTCCAGTCCTCTCTCAGCCCAATCCACCTCACAGGATTGTTGTGCAGAAAATAAGAGGAGGGATATTAGATATGTTCGCAGGACAACTTAAGAAGCAGAAATTCTCCTGGGAACAAACGTGTATCTACTGCCCATCCGGCATACAGTTGCCTCTCCTTTTCGATTCACACAGCCCTCAAAACTCAGCATTTGGAAACGTAGAAAACCGACAGTCCGTCGCGTCTGCCCTTGGGTGGCGTGGAGTTCCTGGGCCAGCTCAGAACATGGTCAGCCGCCAACAGGAACCAACAGGCTCCCACTAAGGGGGGGGGAAACACTCTCTCCACCCCAGCCTCGCCTGCAAGCCGCCGAGCGTCAAGTCCTTTAAATTAATAATTAGCAGCTCTCTTAACAAATGCCATCGTTTGGTCCGGGAGAGGCAGCATCGCATGAAAAATTGATCATGCTTAGTGAGAACTGAGTGGCTCCGTGCAGAGCAGAGGCTTTCATTGGTGGGGGGCACGGCTTGGTGGGTGGTGGGGAGATGGAGAGGGAAGTGGATAGTGCAACGCGCTCTACATGGGGCTACCCTTGAAAAGTATTCGGAGACTACAGTTGGTCCAGAATGCAGCCGCGCGAGTGATAGTGGGTGCTCCTCGATACACCCACGTTACACCTATCCTCCGTGAGCTGCACTGGTTGCCTATTGGTCTCCGGGTCCAATTCAAGGTGTTGGTCATTACCTTTAAAGCCCTATATGGCTCAGGGCCAGGCTATTTGCGAGACCGCCTACTACCTCATAGTTCCCTATGTCCGGTTAGATCCCACAGGCTGGGCCTCCTTCGGGCCCCGTCGGCCAAGCAGTGCCATTTGGCGGGGCCGCGGAGGAGGGCCTTCTCTGTGATGGCGCCCACGCTTTGGAATCAGCTCCCCCTGGAGATTAGGACCGCTCCCACCCTGTTGGTCTTCCGTAAGCTACTTAAGACCTGGCTTTTCCGGCAGGCCTGGGGTTTATAAAACCTGACCCCTGGATGATTGTTTTTATATTGTTTTGTTATGTTTTATGTGTTTTTTATTGTTAGCCGCCCAGAGTCCTTCGGGAGTGGGGCGGCTTATAAATTTCAAAAATAAAATAAAATAAAAAAAGTGCTTTTAGAGGCCCGTAAAGATCCAAAAGTCTTCTGGGTGTCCCGCTTAGAAGATGCTTCCCAAAGACGGAGCCAAGGCAATTTAGCTCCTGCTAAAGTGCATCCCTCCGGGGCTTCCTCCCCCGCCAGACGTGCAGGGCCAAAGGAGAAGCCCCTTCCCCTCCACTCCTCAAGTCAGGAGGGTTTGAAAGAGACGGCTTCCACCCTTAATGCCAGCAAACGCAAGGGAGCATGTTGAAATTGTGAAGCCAGCAATCGATCAGAATAGAGCTGGAAGGGACCCTTAGAGGTCTTCTAGTCCAACCCCCTGCTCAAGCAGGAGATCCTGTACCCTTTCAGATAGGTGGCTGTCCAGTCCCTTCTTAAAAAACTCCAGCGATGGAGCTCCCACCACTTCTGGAGGCAGGTTGTTCCACTGGTTAATTGTCCTCACTGTTTGGACATTTCTCCTTAATTCCAGGTTGGTTGCCTCTTTGGTCAGTTTCCATCCATTCCTTCTTCTTGTGCCCTCTATTTCAGGGGTGTCAAACTGCTGCATCTAGAAGCCGCGGCCACCCCATTACCGGCAATGGCAACATCGGCCCGATACGTTGTGCGACATCACGTGACGTCGTGAGTTTGACATCCCTGCTCTATTTGGACAATAGTATAACAACCCCCTGCTCAGGCAGGAAACCCTATTCCATTTCAGACAAATGGCTGTCCAATCTCTTCTTGAAAACTTCCAGTGTTGGAGCGCCCACAACTTCTGGTGGCAAGCTGTTCCACTGGTTAATTGTACTCACAGTTAGGACGTTTTTCCTTAATTCCAGGTTGCTTCTCTCCTTGACTTGTTGATCCGTTGTTTCTTGTCCTGGCTGCATCAACAGAGGAACCGATAGCATCAGGACCATTAACGAATGATAGGGCCACTTTGTACTGCACTAGCAAGGTCACACTTGTGTCCAATTCTTGTTGCGGTGATATTACAAAAGATGTTGAGAGAGACTCTAGAAAGTGTGCAGAGAAGCGCAACAAAATGATCAAGGGGCTGGAGGCTGACTCATTAAGAGAACTAGGTATGACTAGCCTAACAAAGAGAAGAGTTTTGGGAGACAACATTGCTGGCTGTGGAATTCTGGGAGTTGAAGTCCACATGCCTTAAAATTGTCAAGGTTGAGAAACATTGGTCTAGGCCTAGGGCAGGGGTTCTCAAACTTTTTAAACAGGGGACCAGTTCATTGTCCCTCAGACTGTTGGGGGGGGGGCGGGACTGTGGTTTGGAAAAATTAATGATATACTGTTAATAAGTTTTTATTAATAAAAATCTATTTGAATTAATTATTTGTCTATATTTGAATATTTTTTCTGGGTCCATTTTTTTTTACTTTCACTGAATTTATTTTATTTTTAAAATTTATAAGCCGCCCCGCTCCCGAAAGACTCTGGGCGGCTAACAATAAAAAACACATAAAACATAACAAAACAATACAAAAACAATCATCCAGGGGTAAGGTTTTATAAACCCCAGGCCTGCCGGAAAAGCCAGGTCTTAAGTAGCTTACAGAAGACCAACAGGGTGGGAGCGGTCCTAATCTCTGGGGGGAGCTGATTCCAAAGCGTGGGGCCATCACAGAGAAGGCCCTCCTCCGCGGCCCCGCCAAATGGCACTGCTTGGCCGACGGGGCCTGAAGGAGGCCCAGCCTGTGGGATCTAACCGGACATAGGGAACTATGAGGTAGTAGGCGGTCTCGCAAATAGCCTGGCCCTGAGCCATATAGGGCTTTAAAGGTAATAACCAACACCTTGAATTGGACCCGGAGACCAATAGGCAACCAGTGCAGCTCACGGAGGATAGGTGTAACGTGGGTGTATCGAGGAGCACCCACTATCACTCGCGCGGCTGCATTCTGGACCAACTGTAGTCTCCGAATACTTTTCAAGGGTAGCCCCATGTAGAGCGCGTTGCAGTAGTCCAAACGTGAGGTGACAAGGGCGTGAGTGACTGTAAGGAGAGCCTCCCGGTCCAGGTAGGGTCGCAACTGGTGCAACAGGCAAACTTGTGCAAAGGTCCTCCCAGCCACAGCCGTCAATTGATGTTCCAAATTCAGCTGTGGATCAAGGAGGACACCCAAGTTGCGAACCCGCTCCGAAGGGGGTATATTTTCCCCCGCAAGAGTCAACACTGGACAATCAACATGATCCTTGGGAGGCAACATTCAAAGCCACTCGGTCTTGTCAGGATTGAGCCTGAGTCTGTTAACTCCCATCCAGACCCTCACGGCTTCGAGGCAACAGCCCATCACATTGGCCGCTTCACTGAGAGAGCTCGGGGAGGAGATATATAACTGGGTATCATCAGCATACTGATGAAACCTCACCCCGTGCTGAATGAATTCCTATGCACACTGTACATAATCTTATTTGTAGTGCAAAAAAAAAAAAACCAGGAAAAAATACAATATTTAAAATGAATAACTTTAATTAACAAAAGCTTATTCATATTTCAATGGGAAGTATGGGCTTGCTTTTGGCTTCTGAGACAGTCAATGTCCGGTTCCATATTTGTCGCTCCTAGTTGTTGACAAGTGATGCAAGCAAGCTTCAGTTAGTCTGGATGTGGTTGGAGATTTCAGATGTTTCATTCATTCGGGAGAAAGTCTGTTCACAGACATAGGTGCTGCCAAAGATGGTTGCCATTTTAAGTGCATGGTTCCTGAGGTTAAGATATGTCTCAGAGGGGAGAGACGCATAGAAATTAGTACGGCTGTTTGACTTGAATGCGTCTTTCAGAGAGTCACAATTCTGTAGTTTAGCCAGGTCCATTTGGTAAATCGGATCAACAATTTTAATGTCAATAGAAAATGGGTTCCAGAAAAGCTGTTTGCCCTGTTCATGGAGACTAAGCTCTTTAAATTGGATCAGCGCTTCTTCAGAGCTCAGCAGAAGCATCAGGATCAGCGCCGAGCTCCAGCTAGAGCCTGGCGCTGATCCTGGCGCTTCCACTGAGCCCTGACAGGCCCAAAGAAGCACCGATCAGCTGGAAAGCGGCACTGATCCTGGTGCTTCCATTGAGCTCTGACAGCCCTGCAGCTCCAGCCGTCTCTCGCTCAGGCTTGTGCGGTGCTGCCACCGGTTTAGCTTATTCCCCTCCCCCGCTACCACTTTTCTAGGATGGTCACATACCACCTGCCAGGTCCCAATGTACCACAGGTGGTACCCGTACCACTGGTTGAAAAGCCCTGGTTTAGTGCATGAGCTCTAATGAAGTTAACACAAGATAACCACAATTTTCATGACGGAGTCCCACTTCGGTGATTTACAACATAGTGCCTGTTGGTGGATGAGGCAGTGTAATGGCTACTGGATGCGAATGGTTATGTTTGTCCATCTCTTGGTTAATGCGTGCAACCACTCCTTTCGTAGACCCCACCATGCTAGGAGCACCATCAGTTGTCACACTGGCTAGTTTATCCCAGTCCAGCTTTAAATCATTTACAACTTGGCGAATCATTTCATAGATATCCTCTCCTGTTGTTTGTCCTCTGATGCTTTTCAGTGCAGCCAGCTCCTCTGCGATTTTGAAATAATCATTGGTCCCGCAAATGAAAATTAGAAGTTGTGCAGAATCACGAACATCATTGCTTTTGTCGAGCCCAATGAAAAATAGCAAAGTTTTTGGGAGGAGTTTTGCAACTGCTGATGCAAATTGCCCATTTCTTCAATTCTTCCTATAATTGTAGGTCCTGAAAGACTCACTGTATTAAATCAGCCTTCTCTGGACACATCTCTTTAGCAACAGAAAGAAGGCATTCTTTAACAAATTATCCCTGGTCTGCCAGTACACTGCCAGTATTAGCTTGGTAACTTGAAAACTTGCTTGCAGTGATGAAATAGCTGCTTCTGCTTCACAAAAGTATTTTCCTGAGTTTTCAATCCATTTTTCAGTTTTAATATTTTATCTTTTTTCATCTGTCCGCCCAAACAATCATATTTATCTTTATGTTGAGTTTTGTAGTGTTGATGCAAAATGTATTCCTTGAAGACAGACACTGAATTCTGGCAAATCAGACAAAAAGCCTTTTCCTTGTACTGTATGAAAAAGTAATCTAAGTCCATTGTTCTTGAAATATCCTGCATTCTTTTTCTTGACATAATTATTTCCTAGGGATTAAAAATTGCTATTAGTAAAATACCAATAAATACGTTATCAAAAGAATATACCAGCAATAATAACGTTGTCCTGGCCTAGTCTATAATATTCAACCCTTTGAAATCAGGAAATCACCATTTTGAACAAAAAGCCCAAAAGTATTTATTGTCTTACCCCTGATCAAATAGGTCAATTTTTCCATTTCTGCTAATTCCATTATCTTGACAAGCCATTTCTCCACTCTAGGTATTTCAGTATTTTTCCAAATTTGAGTATAATCCTGCTGCAGTTACCAGGCAAAAAAAAACAATCTCCCATAAGTCTTTTCTAATTGGCTATCCATTTTTTTTTTAAATTTGATGTTAATCTTTAATATTCCTTGCATCATTATCTGTACTTGTATCCACACAATTATTGTGGATTCCAGGGCTTGGGGAAGGAATGTAGCAGAATAGGCTGTAGGCTTACTTTCTCAGAGGTTTTACCAGTGTATAAGGAGCAAAACGGAAAAGGCCAGCGCATAGCACAATTCAATATGTGGCTAAAGTAGTGGGGTAAAGGGGAAGGCTTTGGATATATTAGTCACGATGTCAGTAGCTGGTCCAATCAAAAGATGTACAAAAGAGATGGTTTGCATCCATCAAAAAAAGGGACCGAGTTACTCGGCTATAAATTCACAAATTTTCTGGAGGGAAATTTAAACAGCGGGGACAGGGAGTTAATTGATACGGAACAACCCTGTCCCCGGCAATTTAAAAATTATAGGGCTATCAGTGCATGTAGCATAGATGAAAGATGAAGTGAAGAAAGCCAAGGCTCAAAATGAACTAAGGCTTGCGACCAAAGTCAAAAATAACAAAAAAAGCTTCTTTCAACATGTAAAAAACAAGAAAAAAGTGAAGGAAATGATTGGTCCATTACTGGGTGGGCAAGAAGGTGACAAGCAACAGGGAGAAAGCAGAACTATTTAACTCATTTTTTGCATCTGTCTTTACACAAAGGGAAAAAACAGAGAAAACGGTTAGTGAGCACCTGTCCAGCCTAGATGAGTTCAAATCGCCAGGACCAGATGGATTACACCCCAGAGTTCTCAAGGAACTGGCAGATGTGATATCGGAGCCACTGAACTATATTTTTGAAAGATCCTGGAACACAGGGGAACTACCAGAGGACTGGAAAAGAGCTGATGTAGTTCCCATCTACAAAAAAGGGAAAAAAATGGACCCAGGAAATTACAGACCTATCAGCCTGACCTCAATACCTGGGAAGATCCCGGAAAAGATAATCAAACAATGAATCAACAAACACCTAGAGGCAAACAAAGTCATTACTAAAAGCCAACATGGTTTTGTCAAAAATAGATCATGCCAGACAAATCTTATTGCATTCTTTGACCAAGTGACAAAATTAGTGGATCAGAGGAATGCTGTGGACATAATTTACTTGGACTTCAGTAAGGCATTTGATAAAGTAGATGACAACCTACTACTTGATAAGATAGAAAAATGTGGGGTAGATAGAATCACCACTAGATGGATCCGTAGCTGGCTGACCGGCCATACTCAGCGAGTGGTCCTCAATGGAACTGGATCTATATGGAGGGAAGTGTGTAGTGGGGTGCCCCAGGGCTCTGTTCTGGGCCCAGTACTCTTCAACATCTTCATCAACGATTTGGATGAAGGGATAGATGGGGAACTCATCAAATTTGTAGACGACACCAAGCTGGCAGGAATAGCCAACACTCCAGAAGACAGGCTTAAGATACAGAAGGATCTGGACAGACTTGAACACTGGGCACTAACAAAATGAAATTCAATGGTGAAAAAAGCAAGGTTCTACATTTAGGCAAGAAAAACCAAATGCACAAGTACAGCATAGGTGGCACCATCTCAATAGTAGTAACTGTGAGAGGGACCTCGGAGTCCTAGTAGACAATCACTTAAATATGAGCCAGCAGTGTGCTGCAGCTGCCAAAAAGGCCAACACAGTGCTAGGCTGCATTAACAGAGGGATAGAATCAAGATCGCGTGAAGTATTAATACCACTCTTCAATGCCTTGGTAAGGCCACACTTGGAATACGGCATCCAGTTTTGGTCACCACGATGTAAAAAAGATGTTGAGACTCTAGAAAGAGTACAGAGAAGAGCAACAAAGATGATTAGGGGACTGGAAGCTAAAACATATAAGGAACGGTTGCTAGAATTGGGTATGTCTAGTTTAATGAAGAGAAGGACAAGGGGGGACATGATAGCAGTATTCCAATATCTTAGGGGCTGCCATAAAGAAGAGGGAATTAAGCTATTTTCCAAAGCACCTGAAGGCAGGACAAGAAGCAACGGGTGGAAACTAATCAAGGAGAGAAGCAACCTAGAACTAAGGAGAAACGTCCTGACAGTTAGAACAATTAACCAGTGGAACAACCTGCCTCCAGAAGCGGTGAATGCTCCAACACTGGAAGTTTTTAAGAAGAGACTGGACAGCCATTTGTCCAAAATGGTGTAGGGTTTCCTGCCCGAGCAGGGGGTTGGACTAGATGACCTCCAAGGTCCCTTCCAACTTTACTACTATTACTATCTACTAGATTACTGCTACTTTTTTCTGGGGAGACGGCAAAAAAATAATGCACTGGTTCTAAACTTGAATCTTATTCCACAGAAAATAAAGGTGACCCCTCCCGCCCTGTGCATTAAAGGCCCTTCATTATTTCTAGTACAGCCAATTACAAATTTATGTAACAAAGCAGGAAAATGTTTAGAAGCCAGGAACTGTGACAACAAAGACTTCACCGAGAACAGAAACCCTTCCTCTTCTATCTCTTTCACTCCCTCAGGCTTGCCCCACAGAAGCCTCTCTTTATCTCCCTCAGGCTTGCCCCACAGAAGCCTCTCTGTCTCTATCTCCCTCAGGCTTGCCCCACAGAAGCCTCTCTTTCTCTATCTCCCTCAGGCTTGCCCCACAGAAGCCTCTCTGTCTCTATCTCCCTCAGGCTTGCCCCACAGAAGCCTCTTTCTCTATCTCCCTCAGGCTTGCCCCACAGAAGCCTCTCTGTATCTCCCTCAGGCTTGCCCCACAGAAGCCTCTCTGTCTCTATCTCCCTCAGGCTTGCCCCACAGAAGCCTCTCTGTCTCTATCTCCCTCAGGTTTGTCCCACAGAAGCCTCTTTCTCTATCTCCCTCAGGCTTGCCCCACAGAAGCCTCTCTGTATCTCCCTCAGGCTTGCCCCACAGAAGCCTCTCTCTATCTCCCTCAGGCTTGCCCCACAGAAGCCTCTTTCTCTATCTCCCTCAGGCTTGCCCCACAGAAGCCTCTCTGTATCTCCCTCAGGCTTGCCCCACAGAAGCCTCTCTGTCTCTATCTCCCTCAGGCTTGCCCCACAGAAGCCTCTCTGTCTCTATCTCCCTCAGGTTTGCCTCACAGAAACCTTACTCTATTTCCTTCTCTCCCTCAGACTTTCCCCACACCAAGCCTCCGTTCCTCCCCCTCCCTCTCCCGCCAAAACCCCTCCCTTTTCAAGTCCCGTCTCTTCTCCTGCCTCTTCCCTTTTTCTTCCCGGTACCTGGGCAGCGCCGATCAGTTGCAGCTCCCCATGCCGATCCTGGGGGCCTCAGCGGAGCTCAGGCAGCTCCACTCCAAGGGTTCTGTGGTGCTGCCGGCTAAAGCGGAGGCTGCCGGAATTCCAGATTCGCGCGCTGAATCTGCAGAGCTCCAGCTGAGCCTCCCAGCCCAGCATTAGCTCATCTCTCCGCTACCCTGGGGAAAAACAACGACGGCTCCAGCTCTCAGAGAGAAGCCTCGGAGCCAGTCCTCCCTCACCCCGCTCCCTTTGCGCCAAAACTGGGGAAGTGGCGCGAGAAGAGGGCAGGCCTCTCACCGTGGCTTTGCAAACGGGCCTCCCGAAAACTGCGCGTACTGTCTTCCTGCGGCTCCCAGCGACCATGCACGCCAACCAGAGGACTTTTGACCCGGAATTAGGAGACAGCATAGGAAGTATCAATTGTGAATATGTGCAGATGGCCCTGCTGTCTTTGGGCACCTGCAGAGTCGGGGATGCAGGGTCATGAAAGGACAGCAAGGAAAACATCCAATATCCTAACCCACCTGGGAATATACGATGTCTTTAGAGAAACATCCTAAAGGGAACGTTCTTAGCTACTTCTGCTTTCACCCTTCTTGTTTACAATGTGCCAGACGTGCTGGGTGAAATCTTTATCTTATGTGTGTCAGCTTTGCTGGGTGGATTGCTTATTCAGTGTTTCCCAAACTTGACAATTTTAAGGCATGAGGACTTCAACTCCCAGAATTCCACAGCCAGCAACGCTGGCTGTGGAATTCTGGGAGTTGAAGTCCACATGCCTTAAAATTGTCAAGTTTGGGAAACACTATGTAATCAGAAAGAATAAATACAAGGATTTCTTGTCATTCGGGGCTTCTCTCTTTTATAGGAGCCTGTCTTTGCTCAGCTGAATAAAAATGTAAAGCTTAAAGGCAACTTCTGGTTTCCTGCATTTTTTTATAAAGCAAAACCTCAGAACTTACACACTCGTGAGGGCAGCGGGCGAAGAAACTGGTGTTCCATGGAGCTTGGGTCACATGACTCAGCAGAAGCACCAAAGGGTCCCCCTTTCCGCTCCTTCACAATGTATTTCGGGGTATCCAGTTGCCATTTGTTGAACCCTTCCTGCGAGGGTGCCTGTGGAAGTCACGAGAGAATCTCCTCTCACAAGCAACCATTATAACACCAATGCTGCCCCGGCGGGTTGGATGTGGCCCACGGGCCGTAGTTTGAGGACCCCTGGTCTAGGGTCTCCTGCTCGAGCAGGGGGTTAGACTAGAAGACCTCCAAGATCCCTTCTGACTCTATTCTGATTTATTTTAGGCAGGGTTCGATCACAGGCTGAGCTGAAAAGAGACAGAACCAGGTTGAATGAGGGCAGTGATTGCTAACATCCAAGTGAAGCATACCCTGACTCAGCTGGACCTGTAAAGCTAACCATGGTAATTGGTTCACCAGGATTCAGCCACCCTGACCGTGCCCAAAATAACACCCCACAAGCCAGCAAAATCACACCGCTAGTGATTTTCAAGAAGAGACTAGTCCAGGCATAGGCAACCTTGGTTCTTTTATGACTCGTGGACTTCAACTCCCAGAATTCCTGAGCCAGCCACAAGTCATAAAAGAGCCAAGGTTGCCTACCTCTGGACTAGACATTCACATGTCTCAGACAATATAGGTTCTCCTGCTTGCTCCCTTCCAGCTCTATTCTATTTCTATTCTATTCATTATTCTACTCTACTCTAATTCTATTCAGTTCTGCTCTAATTCTATTTTATGCCATTCATATTATGAGCCCAGCACATTATGCATGACAGGTAGATAAAGGGAGGGTTTATCTACTTAACCTGGTTATGAATAAACTTCCTCTTTTGCACAAGAATGATATGTGGTCATTTCCGATTCTCGGAAATTACATAAAGTCTTTTCCTGGAGGAACTCCCCCCCCCCAACTGGCCCTTTGGATCTTCCAAGCTGGAATGGGAGAATTTGCCATGGCCAGCAGACTTCCACACGTGATATAACCACGCCATCCTTACCCCAGTTTCTTTGACATTTCCATTTTTTCTGGTCACTGGAAATAATGTCAAAGAAACAGCGGCAGATAAACAGTGATCACGTTGGGTTACCCTGTGGAATTGCCTGTGGCGAGATGGCTACAGCGAAATGACTGTGGCCAGTTGTCCTACCTAGTCCCCTTCCCAGGGGGTCCCATCCCTCCCCACGGATGCTGGTTCTTCCACTTGTTCAAGCATTAGACTACAATCCATTTAGCAACCGTTTGAAGTTATAGCAGCACTGGAAAAAGTGACTTAGGACCATTTTTCACACTTACGACTGTTGCAGCACCCCTAGCTACGTGATGCAAATTCAAACAGCCTGGCAACTGACTCCTATTTATGACGGTCGCAGTGTCTCCCCGGGGGGATCACGTGATCCCCTTCTGCAACCTTCTGACAAGGCCAAGGGGGGGGGAGCCAGATTCACTGGTAAGAAAGGATGTAAACTGAGGCAAAATTCAACTGTCTCGCTTAGCAACAGGCTCCGTTGTGGCCGCAAGTCAAGGGCTACCTGTATCCTCCAGAGATCTGAATTTTCTCATAGTATATCCAAAATTAGGATAATTTGAGCCTGAATTGGTCCCTCTGGACAAATTGTTTGACAATCCATCGCCCTGCATGCTATATCAACTGATAAGGTTTGTAGAATGTTAAGCTAAACTAGGTTTGTAGAATGTACTAACCACCCAGACCAACACGGCTAAAACCAAGTTGTGTCTCTTTACAATCCAGTTACAACCCTCTCTTTTGTGCAACACCCACAGCTAAAACATTCTTGTCCTGCCCCATTGAGACCCCCACTCTGCATTTCAACACTTCTGTTGTCCACGTTTCAGAGCTCCAGGAAATGGGAGACAGGCCCACCTGCAGATTCTGTTTCTAGAAACCTTGAATGGTGGGCATTCCAGGTTCAGGGGACCTCTGTTGTCAGGTGGCTTAGGTTAAATCCTGCCTGTCTTCTTTGGAGTGACTACGCAGATTGAGCAACTTATAAGCCTCCTCCCCTTACAGGCACTTCACCACATCAGATTATAGCAGTGATTTTCAAAACATAGGCAGCTTGCAGATGGATGGACAGAATAGAGCTGGAAGGGACCTTGGAGGTCTTCTAGTCCAGCCCCCTGCTCAAGCAGGAGACCCTAGCTAGACCATTTCAGACACGTGGCTGTCCAGTCTCTTCTTAAAAAACTTCATGATGGAGCACCCATTCCTGGCGAGAAGCTGTTCCACTGGTTAACTGTTGTCAGGAACTTTCTTAGTTCTAGGCTGCTTCTCTCCTTGATTAGATCCCATCCTTTGGTTCTGAATTTACAATACAGTAAAGAGTTGGAAGGGACCTTGAAGGTCTTCTAGTCCAACCCTCTGCTCAGGCAGGCAACTCATTACCATTTCAATCAAATGGCTGTCATATCTTCTTAAAAATCTCCAGGGATGAGAGAGTCCACATTTCTGGAGGCCAGCTGTTCCACTGGTTAATTATCCTCACTGTCAGGAAGTTTCTCCTTAATTCCAGGTCACTTCTCTCTTTGGTCAGTTTCCGTCCATTGTTTCTTGTCCTGCCCTCTGGTGGCTTTGAAAAATAAGTTTGACGCCCCCCCCCCCCCAAAAATTCTGTGAGTTGAAATCCACCCGTCTCCAAGACAAACATTGAATTGTATCAAGGCGAGCCTGTTATTTGGCCCCCTCAATCCCAAATACCAGCATAAGGAAGAAACTAAACCACTGCATGCCAGTCTCCCGGTTGATTTAACCTGGTTTAATTTCAGTTGTGGTACTTGGCCACCTAGAATACCAACAAAGGAGAATATTTATAGCTCAGGGTTGAAATGAGGGCTCCTTAGTGGTGTTTGAGTTTGCTTGCTTTCTTGCAGACATTTCTCAACCCCAACTAGGTAACATCAGTGCTAGCGCTAACCTACAATAGCCACGGAAACATATTGCAAAACAGATCACCATTCCTGGTCTTTCTCCGTCAACCCACCGCCATTTGGGATGAAGGATCGGCCCACCTCTTCAAGAGCCATGTATTCATGGAATTAAGACACTTACCCATGGCTCGTTTCCAAGTGACCCCCTCCTTTCCTGTCTCTTACGTCACGCTAAGCGCCCCCTCCCCACCTTAGAAGGGCATAAGCCCCCATCACTCTACAACAAACCATGATTTCAAGCAGATTCTGATTGCAGCTCACAGGGGAAGCAACGGTCTGGAGAAGCAGGGTGGTCAATCTCCCTGGCCTGCGTTTATCTGGATTCCTGCGCTGAGCAGGGGTTGGACTGAATGCCCTTAAGGGGCCCCTTCCATGAAGAGCGAGCTTAGCTACTGCAAGGCACTCCCCAAAACCTGCGGGCTTAAAAACACCCCATCTTTTCGGCAAGACCCTTTCAAATCCCCCCTTCCCCCCCAAAAAAAGCGGTTGCACGCAACTCCTTCCCAGTCATCAAATGTTGGCTTCCTGCATCGCTCCTTTTTAAAAACCAAAGTCTTTTATTAAAAGTCTTACTCAATTTTCATAACAAAAAGGAGATATATATAAAAGAGGGCCCAAATTTCCAAAGGCGGGGGATGGGGGATGAGATGTTATTTATGGCAGGGGTCCTCAACCATGGCCACTTTAAGACTTGTGGACTTTAACTCCCAGAATTCCTCAGCCAGCAAAGCTGGCTGAGGAATTCTGGGAGTTGAAGTCCACAAGTCTTAAAGTGGCCAGGTTGAAGACCCGATTTATGGGGTTAGTTTGAACCAAATCTGGGCTGACTTTGTAAACTGGGGCGAAGACCACCCAACGGCTAGGAACAGTGGAAAACGTTCTAACAGCAGCTCCGAACTTGGGAGGTGCGCTTTATTGTTGTTTGCCCCCAAAGTGTTCCCTAGCCAAGTTTGTACAGAACTGTACCACAAAACTAACTTTTTTAAAAACACTGCAGAATTCTCTTAAAAAACAAAACAAAACAAGCTTGTAATTTTTCTTTAAAAAAGGGGAGACGCAACCTCTTTTCTGTCGCTTTTGCTAGCTCGTGGTGCAGAAACCCCCTTTCGAGTGGGGGGGGTTGTTTCCCACACCTGTGCCAGCTTCCTGTTGTGGGACCGGCAATGGGGACGGCTGCTCCACACGTCTGGAACATATGCCTATATTTTGGGGGAAGGGGAGCACAGTTGAACTCCTCAAGAGAACCAGCCATCTGGGCTCTGGAGGGTCACCGATCAGCGAGGAACAAATTGCCGAAGCAGACAGACAAATGAAAACGGAACATTGCAGTCGGCAAGCCCAGAATCCAGTCGTCACACTTTGAGCAGCAGCGTCGCCACAGAGCCCGTGCCGAGGAGGGTCCCGCATCCGGAACTCATGCCAGGGGCCACAGCTGCACCAGGCACCCCCCTCTCGGCCTCATTCCCAGAAGGGTGCATCGTTGTTTGTCCTCCCCCTCGGCAGAGTGGGAGGGGCCACGGCTGACACCTCCCCCACCAGGAATCGCCGTGTCCAAATGCATCTGGGATCAAGGGTGGCCGAGGAGGGGTGTGTGTGCAAAGCGAGGATGGGTGGGGGAAGAGAGGAACCCCAATTGCTTGCAGGTTCAATTAAACCTGCCCTTGCATTGGTAAGCCTTTGGTCGCAAATACCTCCTATATCGGGGGGGGGGGGGGTAGGGTGGCTGGGAGGAGGAAAGAGGGGCACAGTGCGAGGGGTGGGAGAGGGAAGAGAAAGCTAACTCCCCCCAAAAAAGAAAAAAAAAGTTATCCAACTTCTCCTGAAACACCTACCCCTTTTTCTACATCTTAAAAAAATATATACTGTGGGGGTGTCACGGCCGTACAAAAGAGTGGCGAGCCGGCGGCGGCAGAAGAGGGGAAGGGGATTCGTCACAGTCTCACAAAGGGGAGGGGGCGGTTAAGGCTGGGAAAGTCACAACAGTCCGCCAAAAACACGGATTGGCTTGCAAAAGGAGCCGAAGAAGAGGACGGACGGACTCAGTCGTCATTGTCTTCATCCTCGTCTTCGTAGGGGTCCTCCTCTGGATCTCGTTTCCGCTTCTCGCCCTGCTGGACCTCTGCAAGGAAAGGAGACCAAGGAGGGTGAGGTTGGGCGAGGTGGAAAACCGGCGTCTTATCCTCACTTCCTTTCTTATCCCGACAAAGGAGGGCCGCCAGGAGTCACACCCGTGACTGCTGGACAGGGAGCCGTACTAGAGGACGAGGTGGGACTGAGATCGGCGTTCAGACCAAATCCAACCACCGTAATGGCTGGCTGTGGAATTCTGGGAGTTGAAGTCCACGGGTCATAAAGTGGCCACGGTTGGGGACCTCTGGTCTAGATGATCTCCAGAGGACCTCCCAACTCAACCAGAGATGTGATTCTCAGTCGCCGAAGTCAGAACAATAATACTCACCAGCTTCTTCATCCTCATCCTCATCTTCGTCGCCGTCATCCTCGTCATCGTCGTCCTGAAGGAGGAAGGAACATTTCGGAAAAAAAAAGTCTGAGGATTACCTGTAATTCCACCTGGTGGAGTTCTTGTACTAGAGATTTTTTTTTTCTTAATGTAACAAATCTTGTTCAAAAGAACTCTGCAAACCTCAGCTTTGGGGAAAATCTAAAAGATGCTTGGCAATTGACTCATGTTTATGACAAGGAAAGGCGTTAGAGAAGTCAGATTCACTTAACAACCATTTGCTAACTGCAGGCCACTTTAGCTGACTGTGTTCAGCAGGTCAGCGGTTCAAATCTCACCGGCTCAAGGTTGACTCAGCCTTCCATCCTTCCGGGGTAGGTAAAATGAGGACCCAGATTGTTGGGGGCAATGTAAATATGTATGTATGTATGTATGTATGTGTGTGTGTGTGTGTGTGTGTGTGTGTGTGTGTGTGTGTGTGTGTGTGTATGTGTGATATATATATATATATATATCTATATATATATATATATATATATATATATATATATATATATATATATATATATAGCTTACTGGTGTACACCGCTCAGAGAGTGCTTGCACTTAAAGCAGAATATAAGTCTCATAAATAAATAAACTTTACGGCAGCAGCGATCCACTTCATAGTTTTTAGACCAAGTTCTTTTTTAACAAGATTTGTTACAATGAAAAAAAAAAAAAAGTCGCCGTTTCCTTCACGGTGGAGACTTTGTGCAGAATATTGGATGTTAGACTTACTTCATCGTCGCCTCCATTCTCCTCTTCCTCGCCGTCCAGGTCATCTTCGTCATCTAATTCTTCATCTTCCTCATCCTCCTCTTCCTCCTCCTCTTCTACAAGCAAGAGACACCCCCGGCATCAGAGACGAGTTTGCAACCACAGGCAGTCCTTGGCTTACAACAGTTCATTCAGTGACTAGGGGAGTCTGTGAACTCCCCGTTACTCTGGAGGGCAAAGGTCGGACGGGACCCCTAGAAAGGTGCAGCCCTAAGTTACTCCCAGTTCTCCACATGAAAAGGATTCCGGTCCAGGGGTCTCCAAACTTGGCAACTTTTAAGACTTGCGGACTTCAATTCCTCAGCCAGAGATTGGAGAGCCCTGTTCTAGACCTCAAGGTAGCGAAAAAGGGACAATTTAAGCCAACACAGGAAAAGCTCTAGAGCAGTGGTTCTCAACCTTTTTAATGCCACGACCCCCCAACCGGTCGTAAGTCGAGGACTACTCAACCGGTCGTAAGTTGAGGACTACTCAACTGGTGCAGCACCGTTTGCAGACTGGGACTTTTGGTGGGCTCAGCAGGGCAGAGACAGCCTGGACAATTCCTATTGGCTTTGGAAAGCCAATAGAATTAGACTCTATTCAAGAGTCTATTCTATTGGCTTTCAAAAGCCAATAGAACAAAAGGGAGTAGCATAGCTAAGGAAAAGGGGGGAAAAAATGGCGGACTGCGTTGTTTGGCGACCCCTGTGAAATGGTCGTTCGACCCCAAATGGGGTCCCAACCCGCAGGTTGAGAACCGCTGCTCTAGACATGCTTGCTCATGGTGGGGAACACAAACCATGTGGGAATTCATCACAGGCCTTTTTTGTGACGCCAGAGTCTGCCCTCCCCCCAGATAACCACAACCTCTCAAGGTTTCAAAAAAAGGCTTACTATGGCCTTGAAGAGACAATCAATCTTCTAATGCAGGGGTCTCCAACCTGTGGGCCGCAGCCCATTGGCTACCGGGCCACGTGAGCGGCTGGCTGATGTGCCCATGTATGCCTGCATGCAGAACCCCACTCGCGCGATGGGTGTTCATGCACACAAGCACGTGTGTTCACACCCCCCCCCCCAAACCATTCCTTCCTCCTCCCCGTTCTGGGCCAACCCCAAACATGCCCCACCCGCTCTCTGAGAAAGAGAAGTCAAGATGGCAGCCACAGCCGTGAGATCAGAGTCCCGCTACTCACCGTCTCCGTTCTCGTCATACTCATCATCCAGCCCATCGGCTTCTGGGTCCGAGTCGGGGGCTTCTTTGTCGCTGGCGTCGAACCCATCGAGATAGATCAGCTGAGGCAGGAGGGTGAAGATGCTCTCCCGGTAGTTCATCAGCGTCGTCACCTCGCAGTTGAAGAGGTCGAGGTTCCGGAGGTGGGGCAGTTTTTTCTGCAGCGGGAGGGGAGAAGAAGGTGGCCTGATGCAGGGATTTCTGAATCTGGTAACCTTCTACAGACGCGGGATTTTTTTTTTAAAAAAAACTCACTAGCTACAGATAGTCCTTGACTTACAACAGTTCATTTAGTGACCAAAGTTACAACGGCACTGGAAACAGTGAACGTATGACCATTTTTCACACTCAACGACCATTGCTGCATCCCCATGGTCACGTGAATCAAAACTCGGGAGCTTGGCCTGTATTTGTGACGGCTGCACTGTCCCGAGGTCACATGACCAGTGTCACTACCTTAACTGCAGTGGTTCACCTAACGACTGGCGTAAGAAAGGTCATAAAAAGGAGCAAAAACTCGCGCTAACAAATGTCTCGCGGAGCAATTCTGGGCCCGATTGAGGTCATTAAGTTGAGAACTACCTGTAATCCCAGGCAAACTCCAAGCAGTCCCCCCCACAATCATTTTGCCTGTATTTACACACACACACACACACACACACACACACACACACACACACACACACACAATCTCTCGTCATTCCTTTGGGCAAACTCACCAGAGGTTCCAGTGTGTTGATCTCCTTTATTTTATTGCCGCTGAGATTCAACTGCGTCAAATTTGGTGTTTTTTCCGCTAGGACTTCCAGCCCGCCCGAAATACGATTGTCGCTCAGCTCCAGCTGCCGAAAAGAAAACAAACAGGGCTCCAGATAGGCCGGAACAAAAACACAAAGAGACAACCGGTCACGCTCTCTCTCTCCTTGTGTGTGCATTGTGCCACACGGCCATTCTCCCCCACCCACCCAGAGAATGCCCACCGACCCTCCCCACGGCATCTGATAGGGCTTCACAAAGACCCCTCAGGAGGTTTTTAAGAAGACGCCAGACAGTCACTTGTCTGAAATTTATAGGTTCTCCTGCTTGAGCAGGGGGCTGGACTAGAAGACCTCCAAGGTCCCATCCAGCTCTATTCTATTCTAAAGCCAAATTTGGGCCCTTCTCCTTAGCGAAACAGAAAAGGGCAAACGGGGAAACTGAGGCAGCGTGTTCAACATACTGATTTATTTAGGCAACTCTGCTAATCCTTCAACCTTCCCAGGTTCTGGGCTGTGGGCTATAAAAACAACAGCTTCAGGTTTCGGATGACTAAGACTCATCCTAATAAAAAATAAAGACATTTCCGTGGTGCAAAAATGCCACCAGCCAAACCAGATGGGACTAAAAGACAAGGCAGGTTTGAGGCCAGCTTCAGCGTTGAGAGGCTGCCCCCCCCCAAAATAGGAATACTGCTCCTAAAGCTGGCAGCTACGGAAACTGAATAAATAAAATAATGAAACGGAAGAAGGCAAAATATGAAAAATAAAAACGCATAATAAAATATAAAAAAATATATAAAGAAAATATGAAAGGTAAAAAATGTACAATAAATTAAAACAAAACACAAAATATAATATAATATAAATAACATCTGAAAAATAAAAAAATATAATTAAAATATATATTAAAATTAAAAAAATGAAATAAAATATGAAAAATAAAAACATATAATAAAACTAAATAAAATATAAAACAAAATAAAAACGTGGGGCCAAGGGAGAAGAGAAAGGCAGAGGTAAACAACAAATCAGGGTAGTTTTTTGTTTACAGGGCATGATAGGGCCATGTGCAGGTGGGGGGGGGAGAGGTCAGAAAAGTCAAAATGGAGGCTCCCACCACCCAATTGAAGCTCCACCCCATTTCCCCCCTGCATTTTGGCAAAAGGAATGATCAAGAGCAACCGTTTCCCCAGTCTTGGGGGACTTTAAGAGGTGTGGACTTCAACTCCCAGAATTCCCCAGCCAGCCATGCTACCCCCATGCTGGCTGGGGAATTCTGGGAGTTGAAGTCCACACCCCTTAAGGTCCCCAAAGATTGGGAAAACGCTGGTTTAGAGTGAACAGCTCACTGCAAAGTGCAGAAGCTGAAACGGCCCCCAAGCTCCGATCCCCCTCAACACAAAGAGACACACACACACACACACACACACACACACACACACACACACACACACGGTTTTGGGAGCCCCGCCGTCCCACCCAGGTGCTCACCTTCCGGAGTTTGTTAAGCTTGGGAAGGTTAGAGATGGAGAGAAGGTTGACATTTATCATGCTGAGGAATTCCAGGTTTTCGAAGTCCGGGGAGAGCCCGCTAATCTTCCCATCGTCCGAGCGGCAGTTGTCGAGCACCAGCTCCTTCACCTAGGAAAGGAAAACGCAGCCACGCTGGCATTCAAATTCTGGCTCCCAGAATCCCACTGGGCACAGCTTAGGAATTTCGGGGTGTGAGGTCTCATCTACCGAAGGGGGGGGGGGAATTCAAGGCAGGCCCCTTAAACCTCCCAGAAGTCCCTTGCCCTGACAGCCCCATGAGTACCTTTAACGGTACAGGTCTCCAACTTACAACAGTTCATTTAGTGACCGTTCAAAGTTACAACAGCACTGAAAAGAGTGGCTTAAGACAATTTTTCACACTTGCAACCCAATGGTCACGTGATCAAAATTCAGACAGTTGGCAACTGGCATGTACTTATGACAGTTGCAGTGTCCCGGGGTCACAGGGTCCCCTTTTGTGACCTCCTGACAAGCAAAGTCAATGGGGAAGCCAGACTCACTTAACCATATTACCAACTGAACTGCGGTGATTCACTTAATAACGATGGCAAGAAAAATGGTAAAACGGGACAAAACCCACTTGTCAATTGTGGTCGTAAGTTGAGGACTACTTGTACAGGCAGGCCTTGACTTACAACCCTCCATTTAGTGACCAAAGTTAACAGCAGTACTGAAAAAAGGCGAGGTCTGGCAGCACCCCCATGGCCGTGCGATCAAAACTCAGGCACTTGTCACAACCGGCACATACTTATGACAGTTTCAGCACCCCAACAAGGTCACCCGACCACCATTTGCAACCTTCCCACTAGCAAAGTCAATGGGGGGGGGGGGAAGAAAGAGGATCCGTTTAACAAGTCACTTAACAACTGCAATGATTCACTTAACAACCATGGTAAAGCAGGTCACAAAATCAGGCACAACGGACTTCACTGCCTTGCTTAGCAGCAGAAATCCTGGTCCCAATTGTGGTTGTTAAGTTGAGGACTGCCTGTACTGTCTTGATGCCAGTACCCCTAAGGCAGGGGTAGGCAACCTCGGCTCTTTTATGACTCATGGACTTCAACTCCCAGAATTCCTGAGTCAGCTATGCTGGGAATTGAAGTCCATGAGTCCTAAAAGAGCCGAGGTTGCCTACCACTGCCCTAAGGCTAGGAGCAAACAGCAAACTGGGAGTTCCTGGCATTTCCAGGAGGAGCTGCGACCCGCCGTTTCCAGGTGGCTGAAGAGCATCAAGTTGGGGGACGTGCCTTTGAGAAGAACTTGGAGCCATTTTCCGTGTCTGTCTGCAGGAAGCCCACCTCGGTGGGGACAGGAATAAACGGGTTTCTAGGAAGGTCAACTAGCGGCATGCTTGCGCTGGCGAAGCCACTTGCGTGGCCCGATTCCGAATGGACCACAGCCCGGGAGTGAGCTGCAGCCCAGCGGCTGGTGACCTCTGAACTAGAAGATGATTCAAAGGGGACACAGACTGAGAAGGCACAAAAAATTCACGAGGGATCTTCAGCCTCATGTCAACAGGTGGGTCAAGGGCAGGAGGGAAATCAGATCCTAATAGATCTCTTCAGCCCCCAATTCTTTTAAGATCCAGTCAGCACTCGTAACTACAAATGCGACACCATTGAAACAACCACCCATCTTTTACCGTGTGCCCTCTGGGATCGGACACATGCACACAGAATAAATAACTTGCTGGTCCGAAATACCTCCACCAGTGCTGGGCAAGAACAACTGTATGAATGTATCGTTTTATTGAAGTTTTTAATTTTTTTAAAATTTAATTGTCCCCTTTCTAGTTCCTGCATTTCTGACATGAGATGTGTCATGGAATTGTGTGGCAGGTGTCCAAATGAAGTCAGAGACGCCGACACAAACTTGTAGTTTTGCATAAATATATTTAACATGTATAATCACTGTAGACAAGATAGTTGGGAACACAGAAACATCTTGAGGTAAATCAAAAAGTATACAGAGCACACAGAATAAAAGGCGGTGGGGGGGAGGGAAACTCCCCCCCTTTCCCCCCACAGCAACCAATCACAGCATAGACTGCCTCATGCATGAGCTGACAAGGTAGTCAGGAACACAGGAACATCGTGAGGTAAATCAAAAAGTATACAGAGCACACAGAAGAAAAAGGTGGTAGGGGGAAGGAAACTCCCCCCCTTTCCCCCCACAGCAACCAATCACAGCATAGACTGCCTCATGCATGAGCTGACAAGGTAGTCAGGAACACAGGAACATCGTGAGGTAAATCAAAAAGTATACAGAGCACACAGAAGAAAAAGGTGGTAGGGGGAAGGAAACTCCCCCCCTTTTCACCCATACCAACCAATCACAGCATAGACTGCCTCATGCATGAGCTGACAAGGTAGTCAGGAACACAGGAACATCGTGAGGTAAATTAAAAAGTATAGAGAGCACACAGAAGAAAAAGGCGGGAAAAAAGGGAAACTCCCCCTTTATACTTACAGCAACCAATTAGAGTGTAGATTACCTCATGCATGAGTCAGCACTCTCCAACCAATCAGCTACAACCCACTGTACACTTTACTGTTCCAGCTACTAAAATGATGAGACGAGCCCCCTCACTGAGCAGGCTCACATATGCTGTTTAAGAAGGCGCTAAGAGCTAAGCCTACCCTGCAGGCTTGTTGTGGGGCCTTTGCCGAGACATGCAACTGGCGCCCAGTTTGAAATGGCAGCTGCCTCTGCAAAGGAAGTCGATCTCCACCAGGTGCCCCAAACTGTGGCCTTCTGCAAAGGAAGCTGGCAGACACACACACACACCCATTTCAACTAGCTGCACCACACACTAGTGGGGGTCCAGGACACATGGATCACAACCCAGGAAGCCTGATTGTGTGTGCACATATACACACTTTGGTGTGGGGTGTGGTTCCGAGAAGCAGGAAGGAAAAAGTAAAAAAAAAAACAAAAAACACAACAGCTCTTCTTTCTGCAGCCCTGCAGCAAATATTTTGGAATGTACAGACAGCAATCCAAACATGCTTAGTTTGAACCATGGTTAAATTTCCACGCATGAATCCCTCCTGTCAAATTAGATACAGTTCTCGGCTTGCAACCGTTCGTTTAGTGACCGAACAGCACTGAAAAGTGACAGGACTATTTTTCACATGACCGTTGCAGCATTCTAACAATCACGTAATCAAAATTCAGACGCCCGGCAGCTGGTTTGTGTTTTATGATGATAGGAATGTCCTAGGTTCCTGTGATCCCCTTTTGTGACTCTCCCACAAGCAAAATCAACGGGGAAGCCAGATTACCTGAACAACCGGGTTACTAACAACTGTCTTGCTTAGGAACAGAAATTTTGGGCTCAGTTGTGGTCATAAGTCAGGGACTAATTGTAGCTCCATGTCTTGGACGAAGCGAGAAACATTCGTTAACTGTGTTAAGTATGCTGTGTTAAGGGCAGCAGGGAACAAGAAAAACGGGATCGCCCCAAGGCAGACCCAGACTCGAAGGGGACCCCAGAGTTAAGAACATGCTGCCCTTGGCAATCCCCTTGATTCATCAATGTTCGGAACCATGAGGGCTAGCATCTTGCTTCTTTGAGCACTCAGCTGCAATGCACCATATCTTGAGTTCCTGGATCCCGTGCAGAGCCGAGGAAAGCTTCCTCATAGACAGGCATCGACTCACGCCCTGCCAGCATTGCTGGCTGTGGAATTCTGGGAGTTGAAGTCCACATGCCTTAAAATGGTCAAGGTTGAGAAACACTGCCCTAAATGAAGATTGGAACAAAACGACATTGATTATTGCCCAGGAATCAAATCCAATCGTGGGGCCTTTCCCTTCCCTGTCTTTGTGAGGTTGCCCAGCACCTGTGGGGAGCCCATCCAGGCCTGCTGGGCCCCTCGCACAACCCACATCCGGGCACGGCCCCCTGGGAGCTTCGTCTGCCGCAGAGAAGAGAAACTGCAGGGTCAGGCACGCCGAGGGAATGCGGTTGCTGGCACGGCCGGTTGGGCTGCATTGCTGCTGTGCTGCCAGACGCTGCATGAGATCAGGCTGGGCCTGTGCCACGCAGCTGCTCCAGGCAGCGCCAGGCTCGGGCACTTTCAGGGAGAGGGGCCTGCGTAACACCAGTCCAAGGCCTCTGGGGTCAGGCAGCTTGAAAAGCCGGTTGCTGGCAGGGCGTGGGTCGACGCCTGTCTATGAGGAAGTTTTCCCTGGCTCTGCACGGGATCCAGGAACTCAAGATATGGTGCATTGCAGCTGAGTGCTCAAAGAAGCAAGATGCTAGCCCTCATGGTTCCGAACATTGATGAATCAAGGGGATTGCCAAGGGCAGCATGTTCTTAACTCTGGGGTCCCCTTCGAGTCTGGGTCTGCCTTGGGGCGATCCGTTTTTCTTGTTCCCTGCTGCCCTTAACACAGCATACTTAACACAGTTAACGAATGTTTCTCGTTTCGTCCAAGACATGGAGCTACAATTAGTCCCTGACTTATGACCACAACTGAGCCCAAAATTTCTGTTCCTAAGCAAGACAGTTGTTAGTAACCCGGTTGTTCAGGTAATCTGGCTTCCCCGTTGATTTTGCTTGTCGGAGGGTCACAAAAGGGGATCACAGGAACCTAGGACATTGCTATCATCATAAAACACAAACCAGCTGCCGGGCGTCTGAATTTTGATCACGTGATTGTTAGAATGCTGCAACGGTCATGTTGAGAAACACTGATTTAGAGGAAACCGTGAGGCATGAAAACAATGGAACTTACGGCAAAATCCCAGCAGGCCAAGCCCAGCCAGACAGTCCTCAACTTACAACAGTTCATTTAGTGACCGTTCAAAGTTACAACGGCACTGGAAAAAGTGGCTTATGACCATTTTTTCCACAGGTGTAGCCTCCCTATCGAAGTTCAGATGCCTGGCAACTGACAAGGTACAAGTACAGATTGGGCGAGACCTGGTTTAAAAACAGTAACTGTGAGAGGGACTTTGGAGTCCTGGTGACCGTGAGCCAGCCAAAAAAGCTAACACAATCCTGGGTTTGTATAAACAGAGGCATAGACTCACGCGAAGTCTTAGTACCGCTTTGTAAAACCCTAGTAAGGCCACACCT